AAAATTTGTTTTTTTTTTCAAATATTTTTCTTGATATTACAATGTCTGTAATTAACTTTTCATCACATTCTTTTTATTTCTAGCATACAAGACATCCACCACAAGTGGTAAGTATCAAATCAGCACACATGAATTTTTTCCAGTCTGTTGGTTCACAGTTGCATCTTTACAACTAAGAATATGACTTAAGTCAATATCACATGATACAGATCTCTATTAATCATTCGCATAATACTTTGCCTTTTTAAATTTTCAGCTCCTAAAACGTCCACTGCAATGAGTAAGTGTATTATTTACGTGATGTAGATTCTGTTCCTTTTTTTTGTCATACTTTTTACTTTTAGAATTTGAGTAAAGTATCACATAAACATGAGCTGTATATGGTTCTGTTATTAATCCCATTTAAGAAATTTTCAATTTTAGTACATGACTCATTTACTTCAAAGCAATCAGCATGCAATGAATATCCTAATACTTTTCGTCTTTGTCTTCTTCTTAAATGTTTTATTTTCGTCATTTTTATCAAATCTGTGATAAATTTTCCAGAGGTTATGATATTTCACCTTATTCGTATCCTTTACACTTCCAGAAGCCAAGCCTCCTACCACGGGTGGTGAGTGTAAGAGTCCACAAATTGTTGACATATTGTTTTCAGTCTTTTATTTCATAGCTATACATTTACAATTTAAAATATAAAAAGTTTAAGAATCCACGTGATATAAATTTCTATTCATTAGTCACTACGTTTTTCCTTTTATTTATGTCCTCCTTCTGCAAATCTGTATCAATCAGTGAGGGCACGAATCTGTTCATTTTCTTTTTAAATGTCCTTTCATCATTGCAAAAAGCCGGTGATAAACTTTCCTAAGGTTGTGTTTCTTTACCTTAATCATATTCGTTTCATTTCCAAAATCCAAGCCCTCTACCACAAGAGGTAAGTTTAAAATTCACAATTTGTTGACAATTTTCCTCCAGTCTTTCGTTTCATAGTTTTACATGTACACCTTGAAATCTAATCAAGTTAAAAATCGATATTATACGCATATTTAGTTAATTAATCTGTTAGTTTTTTCCTTTTCTATTTTCAGCATCTAAAAAAACTACTCCAAGCAGTGAGTATGAAATTTGTATGATATAGGATCCCTTTCATTTTAACTATTGTCTCGATTTTCTTACTCATGATAAAATTGTCATACAAATACGAATCTTATTTGGTTTTCTGGTTTATCTCATTTCTAATCTTTTGAATGTTATTAACTGACAAATCCACTTCAAGCAGTAAGCGTCAATAAATATTATACAAGTTTCTCATCGACGTTTTCTTTTAAATGTTTCGTCATTATTTTTAAAATCTAAGTAAGTCTCAACTGAACGTGAAGAAGATATTTTCCCCAGTTATCTGTTATGCTTACGTTTTCTAGTCCACGATTCGTCAATGAATTTTAAGTGAGAAGTATTTTATAAGTTTTATTGTTTTATTATAAGACGTGTTATTGAGTACTATTTTAAAAAGTTATTTCACACATTCCCAATTGCAGTGTCTCCATCATTACATTGCGCAGTCAATATGGGAGTTATTTTAGATGCGTCCCTCAGTTTCACTAAGTGGCAATTTAAAAAGACGAAGGAGTTTGTCATGGATCTGGCTAGAAGCATTGATTTGGAGTCAGGCGCTTCACAGTTTGGTCTTATTACCTTCAACGAAAAGGCGAAGTTGGAATTGGCCTTTGATTTGAGTCGTGGAGGAAAGCAAAAGCTCTCTTACATTGGTCAGAAACTCGACGGCGTGGAACTGAAATGGAAATCAAGATTGGACTTGGCTCTCAAGATGGCTAACAACGGTTTATTCACCTGGAAAGTGAACAAGGATGGTAGAGACAAAGTGTTGATTATTTTGGGTGATGGAAGATATAAGTCGAAGGTCTACGATTACGAGCCTTACGTGAAAGAATTAGAGGTTTGAACGATTCATTAATCAAGAAAGCTACATCAGCTTTGTATAAGGCCCTTATAAGTTTTTCGGCGACTCATGATTAAGCGTGTTAACCGCAAACCGTGAAACGGGACATGAGAATCTGAGTTCTTCATCTTGATGCGGTGACATGATCCTTTCTCGCAGAAACTGCTTTTCTCGTTCCAAGTTTCTCACACTCAAATAAGTCATCCGTCAATAGCTGTAACATAGTGTAAAAACGAGATAGGTGAGATAGACAGAGAATACAGGAATAAACTCTCCTTATGCTTTTTAACGTTTTTTGGTCTTTAAGGAAAAAGGGGTGAAGATACTTGCTGTTGGAGTCGGATGGCCGAACAATCCAGTAGAGAAAGTGGTTTTCCTTCAAATTTTGTCAAACAACAACAAAAGGCTTTTCGAGGTCAATGAATTAAAAAAGCTGCCCAGTCTCTTACCGGCTGTAGTACGTGAGAGTTGCAAAGGTAAAGATGAGCCCTCCGTTCTACTGCTCAACATTATATTTCAATTGCGAATCCATAGCGATATACTATCGTTAATCGCTCTTACCAAGGGCTAACCCTCGAAACCTCAGCTTACGAAACTCTTTTCAGTGGCCAATTTACGTTATCAACTCATTTGATCAAACCAATTTTCTCTTGTAAGATCCCCAACTGACGAACTGCCACAGTGTCTTTAGGTACATACCTCCTTTAGACAAAGTAAACTGCCTGCAAGGCGATAAGCCATATATATATTCCAAAGGAACAGCCTTTTGAATAATAGTATTTGTTATTTTTTCTTGATATATGTCATGATGTCTCCATCTCTTGCTCTCACTTATAAAAAAACTTAAAAACTATCTCAGTCTTTCGACTGCACCCTTATACGAGTTTTCACCTATGACATCCTTAGGCACAGCACAGGCTGCAACAGAAACGAGAGGGGTGGTTACCTTTCCTTCGATCTCGAGAGGCATCTTTTAGTTAAACCTGACTTAAAACTGAAAACCATTTCAGTTTTTTTTTAAACGTCGTGGCTGTAAAGTATCCCCTCACTCGAACTCTTCAAATTATCACATTTGTTCAAGGACCGTCAAGGGGCTAAGTTCGTAGCTGAAACGGGCTTTCTCCTCAGATGCTAATCAAAGTTCATTTTTTTTCTCTGTAGGCTCGAGCAGTGCCGGCTGATAAGACTTATCAGTAGATTTGTGCAGGGGTTTAGAGGACAAAAGTACCTCGCTGCTATTGGGTATACGAATTTTTGGGATGACAAATAATCAGTTGAACATTTCAAACCTATATGTAGCCTCAAGATAATAAAGTATGAGAGAGCATTGAATTATGGTGTTGTCATCAGTTTTTTGAGTCGTACATCAGAAGTTTTCCTCGACCATACAAACTGCATGGACAGGCCTTGATTCCAGCCTGTGTCGCTGAAGATTTTTTGCGTTCTCTACCGTATTTGTGTGCGCACCGTGTTTTTTTGTGCACTGAGAGATGAGCCGCGAAGCCGTGAAGGAAATTATCTTCCGTCTCCTCACCTCTTAAGCGCACACAAAACTGCCAGCTTCATGGGTTACCCTGAAAATTTCCCTCTGCACTCCTAGAAAGGTTCACTAATAGCATACTAATAGCCGGTTCACCAGTAGCACATTCAGTATTGATGATTTTGATGATCAATTGGAAATCCAATTGGACTTTAAAAAAATAAAATAAACACTTGAGTGACGTAGAAGTGAGAGCCGAAATAGTTGCGGAGTATAATGAGATGTGTAGATCGTGATTAATACGACGGTGGTGGTTGGGATCGATTAATAATTTACCTTAGAGAAGAAAACAGACGACATTTGAGCACAAAATGCGATTAGTCAGGCTCTCTATTTTGTCCCAATTGGTATTTCAAGACTTGCAGTGCTGATCAGGTGATTGTGGAAATACGCTACTAATGTTCAAACGCCGCCAAATGCAAAATTGAAAGTATAATGAAAGAAAAAGAGATGCGTGTACACTTAAAGTTACCCAAGCAATTACATTTACTATAAATCGTTTTGAGTGAAAACCGAGAGAATAAAAACTGTTTATAATATCTTGATAAAGATTTAACTCCGCTCCGCCTCGCTCAGCCCCGCTCCTCCTCGGTCAAAACTTCGTCAAGCGCGTCGTCAAGCGCAAAAATATTTCTGACATGCGCAAACTCCTACTCTAGATCGCAACTGATATGGCGGAAGGGAATACTTCTCTATCGCACTTGCTACAAACATCGCAGGAATTAATAGCTTTGGGGACGACACACGCCACTGCTATTCGGCAGAAGTATGAACAGTTTGTCTTACACAATCCAGAGACAATTTCGACAGTGGAATCCATTTTGCGAGCGCTGTCGTACATGCTTCCAGGACGATTCGGAGCGTCTGAGGCACTGTCTGAGCTCGTATTTTCAGCATCGCAAATTCTTACGCTGCTAAACGATTGCATATTTCGTGAAGGAGGAAGTAGTCTGGCATGTGATGTGACATCTTCCTGGAGCAAACAACGTTTATTGTTGTGGCTGACTGTCATTGAATATTTAGAGGTGTTTATCGAACTCGGCGCCAGTCGTTTGTGGGGTGAAGCAGGAAAGTGGATCATTGTCGTGGTTTTACAAATAGCCAAGGCTGCTTTGAGATTCGCCTTATTATTCAAGTATAATTCAGGAATTCAACGGACACCTCTAATTCCACCCTTTGATCGATCAAAACTGGTGAAACCTGAGGAAGTGGATCGTGAAGATCCTGACACTTTGAGAAAGGTTGAGATTTCAGACGAAGCGGTCCCAAATGACGAAAGGTCACAGACGAACGGCCATACAGGGCCAGTTTGGCGAGGGCCTAGATCAGGAAGGGTTGTAAGGTCCCTTGGCGCCACACCAAGTGGTCCAAATCGTTCCTGGAAACTCCCAGAGGGAACCTCTAAAACCAAGACGGCCTCTCAACCAACCGATCTTTCTTCTAGGAGAATGGTAGCTGAGAGCCTTTACATCTCAAGACCCTTGCTTCACGTCACAAGTATGTTTATGTTTGGACAAACCTCGTGGAAGCCGTGGTTGATTTCTTGTGGAGTAGATGTCACATCATTAGCTCTTATGGGTGATTCAAGTGAACTAAATGATGAGGAAAAATCAGAATTGTCCAGAAGAACATTTCGGCTTCTCTTTTATCTTTTGCGATCTCCATTTTATGATAACTACTCAAAGACTAGGATTCTAAGTTTCCTAAAATTTATGACAGGGAATGTTCCTGGGGTTTCTCTTGTGCTTAATCCTTTGCTGGACTACCTTCCAACTTGGCAGAAGATTTATTTCTATAACTGGAGTTCCTAAAACTTTGCGAGGGGATTCTCCATCCCAAAGCTGTTCTAACAGGTGTCCTTGTTTTGTTACAGTTTTTGACTAGATTTTAAATTATCAATCTACAATCAACTCCCAAGGACACTCCCTTTCACACCAAGGAGTGACTAAGCATGAATTTCTCCTCACCACATCCATACATTTTTAAGCAGAAAAGCAATGAGAAGTGAAAAAATTATCATCAAGGAGGATATTACTTCATTCTTAGATCTAAAACTATAGGCAATGAATGACAAACAGTGTGGAAAAGCTCTACCATTATCTAGATCAAGGGAGTGAAAGGGTTTTAACCCTTTACACCCTAACATCAGTATCCATATTCTCCATACTCTTCTCAATACATTCCCTTTAGTCTGGACAAGGAGAATTTGTTTGACAATCAAAGGATCTTAGGTTGGTGATCATTTCCTTTATTCTTCTGATATAAGTGAATGTCTTGGCAGAATTACTGCAAGGAGAGTTTGGATGCTGGTCACTCTTAGGGTTTAAAGGGCTAAGAGAAATTCAAGAGGAGTTGAGAACAAATGTGGGGAAATAAGTTAACCCTTCAACTCCCATGAGTGACTAAGACAGAATTTCTCCTTACAATATCAATACAAAATCAAGAAGGCAAGTGATGAGAACCAAGAAAAGTATCAGTTAGGGGATTAGTAGTTGATCCAATACCAAATTCTCAGAAGTAACATCAGAAGAATTTTATAGTGAACAGTAAGGAGAATTACTGAAAAGATCTTGGGAGTTAAAGGGTTATAGATGCTGAGAACTGTATTCCTGTTCATGTAGTTTACATCTTCATGAAATTTAATCTCATTATCGAAATGGTATGAGTGAGAAATTACTTTAAAAGACAGTTCAATAGTTGATACTTTGGCCTTTGTTGATAACCATTGGTGAGCCTTAAGGTTTTGATGTAAATCTTTTGGAATTTTCTCACTAATGTTCTCATATATTAGTAGTTACTACTAACAGCTTATTTAGATCATCTATAAACAGGGTTGGTTTTA